TACCTACTCTACGGGCAGCGGCCCCATGGGGCTTCACAGTTCGGCGGTGGATGTCGCATGATGTGTACGTAGTCTTTTTTCAGTGTATTTTTTTGTCTTTTTTCGGTGTATTTTTCCAATTTTTTTTAAAATAGATATACTGTATGTACCGCTGGCACAATGATGTGGTCGGTAAACGCCTGAGGGCGGTACTGGTGTCCTTTTTCTTTCTTTTTTCCTGGAATTTTTGGACCCATATTTCTCATTTTATTGAATTTTTCGGGCATTTTGGCGGGCCGGGATGAACCTTCCAGATTGGGATGTGGTCCGTCTGATTCGGGTGGCTGAAATGGTTTTATTTTTATTTTATCGTGAATATTGGTGGCGGTGGGAGGGAATTTCCGAATTGGGATGCGTTCCGTGTGATTCGGGATGTTGCCGATGCTCGGCAGGACATCAGAATTGATTTATAGACGGCAGAGGCGGCGGAATTGATGTCCAGTGTAAAGAGGGATGATGCCGAGGTGCCGGGGATCATCCCCTGGCACAAACACAACCCCTACCTACCCTATTTGGGTGCCCAGTAGTTTTTGCAATTCACCATGTGGTCAAGCCGAGTACCTTTTGCAAAAAGACCCTCATATGAGGTGGCATCAACCAGTCGGTGAACTCCTTGGGAACTCCCTCTGTTCGCATGTTGTGTACGACCCTTGCTAGCATCGCGCTCGGAAACGCGCCTTTCACGTCTCTGAGCAGCAACGTTGCCACCTTCCCCACCCGCCATGCATCCTTCACTTTCTTCACCAACCCCTGTATCATATCCATCCCCGTTCGTCCAGCTCTCCCTCCGTAATGATTCTCTGGCAGCATACCATAGCGCTCCGCATTCGTGGTGACCTGGAAGTTCCGCGCCGCGTTGCGTACTCGTGCGTGCCCGTGGGAGAGGATTAGGGGCCGGTGCGCGCCTACCACCGTGTAATCCGGCTTGCCAGGCTTGCGAGCTATAATAGTTTCGGTGCGGCTCCAATCAGCCGGTTCGTGCTTGTACAAGTCTAACCCCCGGTATATGTTGCAGAGTCTCGGCAAAAGTAGCTTCGCGCAGAGCTTGTAGACACAGTTGGGGAAGGTGCCGGAGCGGGTAGCCTTCCAGGGTTTCATTTTGTCGACCACGAGCTGGAGCTGACACGGGGTTATTGGGTGGTGTTTCCACAACGGGTCAGGGTACTGCGCGTCGTCTGGGGGGTTTGTGGCCCCGGGCCCTCGCGCTGGGTAAAACTCCTCCACCATCCACTGGCTCTTCCGCTCGTTCGTCTCCGCCACCTCCACCGTACCTCCCGCCGTCTTCCGCCGCAGGTCTGGGACCCTCGTCTTCCCTCCGTCTGTCGGTGCTCCTTTCATCATCTTCCCCGCCGTCCACATGTCCCCCGTATCAATCTCCTCCAGCCATTCCATCCAGCACCGGTCTCTCGCCATTTTCAGCCTTGTCGAGAAAGCATTGCGTGCTATCCGGAACTCCTCGTGGACGTGGTCGTCCAGGTTGTCGCGTTTCCTGTAGGAGTTGCGGGACAACTTCTCCTTCGCTTTCCGCGCTGACTCGAGCTCCGTTGTCCACCAACGTTTGGAGAAAGGGGCGATCTTGCTGTGCGGTACGTGTTTCTTCACACAGCGCCAGATGGCTTCGTCGAGTTTGCTGATGTCCTGCAGCACCTCGTCGATGTCGGTGTACACTCCGTTCACCTCCGACTGCTCCATCTCCTTGCTCAACGACTTGTTCATCTCCTCCCAATCTGTCTCCCTCCAATTCCACCTCTCCCCCACCTTGACCACCGGCGGCTCGACGTCGAACACCGTAACTATCGGGAAATGGTCTGTGGTCCCGATGGCGCGTGTGTGAAACACGTCACAGGACACTAGGTGGCCGAGGAGGTCAGCGCTGCAAAAGACGTTGTCCGGTCGCGTGAAATTCCCGGTTCGCTTTGCCTTGAGCGTTGGGATGTCTCTTGGCAGCGCCATCTCCATCCTGTATGTCCCTAGCAGGTGTAGTAACATGAACACTGCGTCCTCCGCCTGCGTCGTGAAGAGGTGTGCGTTGCGAAATTCATCCCACATCGGGCTGTGTCGGTTAAAGTCCCCCATCCACAGGTAGAAAACTCGTCCCCTGGCCGGACACAAACGGGCCCTCCGCATGTAGTCTCTGAGCGCCACAAGGTTCTCGTCGTGTTCCCCATCATTGTAAATGTTCACAATGCGTACAACCCCGATCGCGCATCTGAACTCTATCGCGACGATATCGGTTGAATCAACCTCCATCTGCGACCACGATCCAGTCGGCAACACCGTGCTCACCAACGTCACCGCCCTCGTTGGCCTCGCCCCTTTCTTCCCATGCCCTGTCGGGTATACCACCCTCCAGTGTGAATTCGCCCTCGTCGTATTTCGGTGGTCAATGTGCGGTTCCTGCAACGCCGCAAACTGGTACTCCCCACTCCCCATCCTCTGCAGTAACTCATGCTGATTCCCCAGACCTTTGTCCAGGTTCTGCTGCCACAGCTTTAATTTCTGCGGCAGCCGATCTCCTCCCCCCTGTGTACTCATTCACGCCCGTCCACGGCTGCGGCCGGGTCGCGACTTTGTTGGGCTACCGAGCCCTGCGTCCCCGCCGAGCCTCTAGCGAGCTCGTTCCTCAACCTACTAGGGCCCGCCATAGCGCCCCTGCCTCCTCTGATCGCCCCTCCCTGAGTAAAACCTCCCCGTCCCCACTCATTACTCCTCGGCTGCGCAGCAAACACGTCGGGGATATGGCTCTGGTACAGGCCGTCGTCAGACCAGCTGTTGCCCGCTCTTTGTTCCTGCGCCCGTTGCCTCATTGCACCCCATCCACCGTCCACCGGCGCTCCTCCTCCTCCTCCTTGGCCCGGTGCTCCCCCCGCGAGCCGTCCCTGTCCTCTCGAATCCCTATCTCTCTCGGTATCGACTCCCTGCTGGAGGGCACGAGGCTCCTCCCAAGCCTCGTCCATCACCCACGTCTTGGGATCGTTGGTCGGGAAATAGCGGTATCCCGCATTTGGGTCCCTTGCTCGACGCTTCTGCTGCTCCTTTACGAAGTACGGGCAAGCGCGATCCGCCGCCCCGTGCCCGTCTCGAGCGCAATTCGCGCACCTAAAACATCCCCGAATCCAGCATCCCACAGTCCGAAGTGCGGTGGTTCCCAGCACATCTGCTGCACACGTCAACCGGAGATTTACACGCCTGCACGAAGTGCCCGTCGTATCTCTGACACTTCAAGCACCTCTGCGGCTCCGTCATGGGCTTCCTCACCCTGCAATACCTCCCTTGCGCGAAGATCCCGTTATCTATGAGATGGTTTGCCGCCTCCGCATTCTCTAGCTGTAGTACCGCGAGAGCCACCTTCTGCGTCGCGCTCCGTCGATGCAATGGCTTCACCCACTTGGCGTTCTTAAGCACCCCCGTCGCCAACCCACTCTCCGTCTCGATGAGACGCAAGACCCCCTCGCTGTCAATGGCGAGTTCCACTGGTAGCATCTCCACCATCATCTCAATCGTCCGCGGCCTGAAGACACATGTGCCCCCGAGCGCGGCGATGAACTCCTTCATTGTCTCCTCTCCTCTCACCCATGTCGCTGTCTTCTCATTCAGACAGTCAAACACTACGCCGCCATTGTCGAGCTTCCGCGCCCCAACAAATGCGGCCCCCTCCAACTTCTCCGTCATCAGGGTGAGCGCCAAATTGGCCTTCACCTTGAGCTCCACTTCACTGAGCGTGCTCATGCTGCTCGCTGTCGTCTCACTCCCCTTGTCGATCAGTATCTGGCGACGCATGCGCGCCGCCCTTGCGAGCACGCCCGCCTGCACTGGCATCCCCGTCGCCGCCGTTGCCGCGAACGAGCGTGTCCCCGCTGGGGCCGTTTTCGCAGCCGCCTGCACCTCCGAGACCGCTGCCGCCACTGCCTTCGCGCCATCCGCGACCGTGACCGCCGCAGCCCCTGCCTCCGTCACCACGTTCCTCAGCTCCCCCAACTGGGTCGCCACCCACGCCGCCATCTTTTGCGCATCCTCCTTTGCCCCCGCGGATGCCTCATCCATCCGCGTCTGCATAACCGCCAGCTGCACTCGCAGTGCCTGCACCTCCCCGGCCGTCTCCCTGTTTTTCTCCTCCACCGCCGCCTGCAGGTCCGAGACCTGCCTCACCAGCCCTAGCACCTCGCCGTGCAGATTCTCCTGGCTGTCCACTACCGAGTTGACAATGGGTCCGACCACGTCGGCGACCTCATCTGCCACTACGGAGTCGATCGTCTCCGCCATGAAGGCGAGCGCTCGTATGGTCCCCGCCATCAACTTCAAAGTCGTCTGCGGCAGTAGGGAGACCTTGAGCAGGATCGAGAACATTACCTCGCGATTGAGCGGCGCTCCCTTGTCTATCCATCTGCCGTTCTCCAGATATGCGCGTGCCGTCTCCGTGTCTCGTAGCTTCTTGCCGACCTTCTCTTCCATGTGTTCTAGTAGTTCTGGCCTGGTAGTGTACCTCTCAAACCGTTTTACGATACTCTCCGCCGTTGCTGCATCAAGTAGCGGCGTTATCGCTGTCGATGTCGAGGTCGATTTTGGGGTTGTTCCCCGGGCAGTAGTATCCATCGCTCTCAAATCTGTCGTATTACAAGTATTATAGCTTCTTTATGTAGGTTGCGAGGCAGTAGGACGTGAATTTCACGTCCTTTGAGTGTCTTGAAAATTTTGTCGGCTAAAAGTCCGGGGTCCTAGTCGGGGGTACCAGGTGGTCCGGAAGAGAGAGCGATCGGCGTAACTGGTAACACGCGCATTTACTGTACGAGGGCGACACATAATCAGTTAAATGTGAGATCCTCGTTCGATTCGAGGTCAGGCCGTGTTTGCAAGTCTAAGTGACTTTTTCCTGCGCTCTGTAGTGTGTATTTTCGTCACGGAGTGTGCACAAGTATTCGTCCGTGAGTGTCAATTGTCGATTCCTGGGTGTTTGTAGTGTAGACCTGGTGGCGTAACTGGTAACGTGCCACATTTCCACTGTGAAAGGTTACAGTGACCCATAATCTACAAATGCGAGACCCTCGTTCGATTCGAGGTCAGGCCGTGGCAATTTTGCTTCCCTTTTTTCCGTGCGTGTTCCGTAGTGTGTGTTTGCCGTTTTCAGCCACGGAGGGAGCGTATCACAAAGTGATAGCTCACAGCAGTCTGTGATGTCCTTCACGACGGCTCTGTTCCTGAAGGCAAGTGGCCAACCTTCAAGACCTGTAGGGACGTGAACGGTCTACAATAGTGTTCACAACAGATCTGTCCTTTGATGCAGTTGGCCCACCTTCAAGACCAGGTGGTATGTAAAGGCATTTTTCGAGTTGTGAGCAATGTTCAATTCATCCTTCACGACACAACTTGAACTCCAACATTCTTTACCTGAATGTACATACATTGACTTCAATTACCGCCCAATCCGAGTACACTTTAAAATTGGATATCCTACATAACATTTGCTTTGTTTCCTTTGAGTCGGTGGAATTCAATCTTGTTATCCACCATACATGGAAACTTCCCAGAATGCAATTGTATTCAAAAGTCATGTACCTATGGCCACATTCCTAGACAGAGGTACTTACAAAAAAATTGTACGTTGTTTTTGGTGTAGGGAGGGACAAGCCAAGACCGGGGGGGTGGGGGGGGGGGGGGGGACCAGGAGCCTATGCAAGGCAGTGTTCTCCCATAAGGGCTTATTAAGGGTAGAATTTTTAGCTAAGGCCTTAGACCTTAACAACCCTTAAGCTTAATTGAGGGCCTCTTATCACAGCTTTAAGTTTTTTTTTCGCCAGCATTTTAATATTATTTAACCAACAGGAGCGAGTGTCTCTTCTGAGTAATCGTGGCCAGAGCCCTCCAGTTCACCATTGTCGGGCTCCTCCTCCTCCGAATGCTCTGCTACCAACAACTCCATGAGAAGCCGCTGCCGAGTAAAAGCTTGACGCGGTGCGTGTCCTGGTGGCTGCAAAATTTTATCGCTGAAACGGTGCACTCAGGTGCAGCTGTGAAATCAATAGAATGGTGGTCTGACCGGTGCGGTGAGCTATCAACTCAACTAACACCAACCAAAAACCAACCAAATCTAAATAATCTCACAAACTCCAATAACCGAAGCTAATCACTGTGTTCCACCCCCAGGTAGATGGACCCTCCATCTACCCACGTAGATGATGGGGTAGACGGCCATGTACATCTACCTAAAGCTACACGCGTAGACATTGGGTGTCTACGTTCATCGACATTCGGCTAAGTTCGGCTACTGCTGTGGCCGAACGTAGATGAACACGTAAATGGAGTGTACCTGCCGAATGTGGTGAGCCTGAGGCCCACATATGTAATATTCAACTCAATTGCCCGGTGGACCTCGACTGAACCCTTCAATTGAGTTCCTACTCTCTACTAATTTTTTTTTTACGGATTCTCCTGTTGGTTCGGACATCTTCGGCGCTACGGGCTCGAACAGACGTAGACGGATGTGACGGTATGTAGCCGAACGTAGCTGCATGTAGCCGAACGTCGGCTACCTGACGTAGAGACATGTCGACGCAAGTAGATGCTTGTTCCATCTACCTGCGTCTACCCCCTTCATCTACAGGCGTAGATTTAGGTAGAGGCATGTAGACGCAAGTAGCTGAGGGGGGGTCTACCTGGGGGCGGAACACAGTGAATTGTGTGTGTGAGTTTGGGGTAGTAGGACAGGTGTCTCGTCCCTCAAGAGTGTTGCTTTTCAAGTGTTTTCGACAAGTGGCCTACGGCTAAGCTGTATAGCGCACAAGTCCAATTGGGTTTCAATTCTATTTGATATCTCTATCTGTAGCGACGGCCCCCTGCAAGAAGGTTCGTACGGCTCGAGAGTACTCGACTCGAGTACAAAATACAGAGATTGTGTACTTGCAACGCTACAGTAACCACTCTAGCCACTGAGTAGCTACGGTAGACCGACAGGTCGAGCTCTCCTTTATTTCCTCAAAACTCGCCAGAGCAAAGCTCAATGACAGCGGCAGAGAGCAAAAGCTCAATCAGCGGCTAACAGTCTGCGGAACGTACACACTCGTTACGGCTTTCCTTAATTCCCTGGTAGAGTCATTGTCAGAGCAAAGCTCGATGACTGCAGCCGAGAGCAAAGCTCAATCTACGGCTAACACTACTGAGCGGCAAGGTTTCCAACGGGCAGTCAGACTGGCTAGGCCCCTGCACTTATGATGGTTTTCACTGGTGGTTCACGGGACGTACACGCCGTTATCCTTTCTTATTGCTTTCCAACAAATCTGATTTCACATCTTATCTTTCCTCTGAGGTACTAGCGGCTGGGGGCCGGGATTCACTCGGGTACATTGGTGTAACTCTACTGTATTTATACAAACTGCATAGGCTAAAAGGAAATATTCGGAATGTTGTGATAAGGCGTGATTGATGAACCATGTGGGTTGGTGGTTAGCGGTCCAATGGCGGTTAGAGCATTCCCAACAGCGGGCAATTTTGACCGCCTGCTGCTGGCTTGTGAATATCTTTATCGTGACCTGGGCCGAGAAGCCCTGACGGCTAGCGGCTACTCGAGGAGTTGTTCAACCACTGGCCGCTAGGAGTCCCTCCCGTAGGTCACTATCCCATATTCCTATCTCTTATCTTGTGAAGACCTCTATTGAACGGCTTACTGCCACTGTTGAAACCACTTCTCAAGAGTTTTATCTCCGGTTTGATCTTCAACTGTTTAGCCTTCCGTAGTTCCGGTTGCCAACGGTTAGCCGCAAGGTGATCTCCCGTCAACGGTTAGCTCGGCCATTGATCCCACAGCTGCTACCGCTGAAGGTAAGCCAGCCGTAGGAGGCTTCTCCCGTAGAGTCTTATTATCTTTTATCTTGTCCGAATGTAGTCCAACCGTTGGAGGTTTTTCTGAGTTCCAACCGTGGGTAGGATTGTTACCGTTGGGCTGCACAGCCACCAATGACTAACCGTTCGGCCAATCAGCTATAAATAGACCAAACCGGCTGCCAGGTCTTCAGCTGCTACCCTTGAAGGTAGTCTGACCGTAGGACATTTGTTATCTTATTCGTGCTCAAAAACTAGTCTTCCCGTTGAAACAGTACAGCTGGAAGAAGACTTTTCTTTCTGAGTTCATCCCGTAGGCTGGCTTCTACCGCCCAGCCACCAACGGTCAGCCAGTAGACCAGATTTCTATAAATAGTCTGGCCGGCTGCCGGTGCTTCCAGCTCGAACTTGTCAATGTTGGCTTCCGGCTGGAGGTCTTCTGTAAGTGAGTAGTGTGTGAAGTATCTCTTACTGATCACCGCGAGCTAAGCTGAACCAGTTTCTGTATTGAACAGTTGGTGCAGCGTAGCGGATGGGTGTATAAAAGATACCCCTCTGATACGCCATCATCCGACATATATACTACAGTACAAAATGGGGTTAACTATATGATGGTAACAATGGCCGGTAATCCGGGCCCAGGGGAGGCCGGTTCCCAGGCCCCTAACACCCTCCCCCCTTAGGACGAGGGCAACGAGTCCGATATTCTTTACCAGAATGTGTATTTCCACGACGAGTCGTGGTGCTAGTGATTCATTTTATCCGCTAAAGGAGTGTTCGCTCGTGTCAAACGATCGTAATGTAAAGACCGTTGATTGTAACGTAAAGACCGTCGATTCGCCTCTAGCGATAATATCGAGGATTATTTGTTTAGATATAAAATTACTGCAAAAAATTGTAATTCCCGCAAGCTTCGTTCTGTGCGATTCGACAATGCCGGTGCTTGATGCCCCATCACCGTCGAACTCGCGCACACTATATGCAGCTTGATGCTGCCTACGACGTCGATGCGGGGCCTTCTGGAGTGGGCCCAGTAGGGTCTTGAGGAGGGGGCGGCACGGGCGCGGGCGCGGGCGGTAGCGGCATGTCATTTACAGGGGCTTCGTCCTCGTCCATCGGCGCGTGAATAGACGCCGACAGACCAGACTCCGGCGCCGCTGACATGCCTGGACGCGTTGGTGCGTGCTGTATTTCCGCCCATGGTGGGATCGCTATTTGCTGTGCAGCGGCGGCGCTCCGAGGCTCCTTATTCCACTCCTCGTTGCTGAGGTTCTCTATGCCCGCTGTTATGTTTTGGCGGGCGCGCGCCCATTCCTCGAGTGCACGTACGTCTGGGCTGCACGGCACTATGCCATGCTGAGCAAACCAGGCCGCAACGAGGAATATGGTAACATTGTCCGTGAGGTACGGATAGTGTTCCAGCGGGGCACAGGCGATAGGATAGCCACCTGTCTCGACGATGTGGCTGAAAAGATCAGAGATAGAGAACAGTTGCACCACCGCCCTGAAGAACAGGGCAAATTGGTGTAATAGAACTTGGCGCTGGTCGGGTCCCAACGCCACAGTCGTATGCCATGCCAGCATCGTGCTGACACATGCCGTGTCGCCCATTTTGCTTGCGAGACGGCTGAAAGTATTGAGTATACCACGCCCCCACATCGAGGGATGCATGTTGGCGTACCTGTTTGATAGCTCCCCCGTGGTCCAACGACTGTTAACGGGGGTGGTATTATCCGGATATCCCCCGTCCATAACCAGCGGCTGTTCATCGCTGGGGTCGGGTGGGGACTGGCCCAAGTATCCGCGCAAGCTGTCGTTGCTCGTGACGGGTGTCATACTGCGAACGGGCGCCGGACTTGGCCTGTGTGCAGCGCTAACCACCATAGGCAGTGTACATGTCGTGGTGGTAGTGCCGAACCTGTACGGCGGCGATGGGCCAAGATATGTTGGAGGCTGTGACGGGTTCTGTACGCCTGCGCCGCTATTAGCGTTGTGACTTGATGGTTCCGCGATATTATCGCGGTTGTGATAGGGAGTCGAGTACCCTCCTCTAGATGGTCCCGTGATCGGCTCGCGGTGTTGTTGGTGCGAAGGGTATGGGGGTGTTGAGAGGCTGTTGCGCCCCCGAGGGTACGCATTGGGATGCCGCTCGGCTCGCGATGGGCGAGTGGCCCCTGTCGTGGTGCGCCACCACGAGCGCTCGATGTCCTGCTGGTACCGCATAAGGTAAGCTTCCCCCTCGCTCCGGAATAT